CTTCCCATCCCTTCCCATCTCCCCTCCCTGCCTCCCCAACACCTCCTTACCTCCCCTACCCCCCCACCCCGCCAGAGTTGTAAAGTTCATTTTTCGATGTAACGATTTGTGCATCTCATTGTGCAATAGGTCCACCTGTATCCCTATTTAAATGATTTGTTTTTTTCCCTTCCCCTCCACAAATTATACCAACATCAAATACAGTGAAAGCAGGGGTTATACCATGGGGGAGGGACATACAAAGCAACAAAGAAATCATCTTATGAATATGTTAGAAACAATCGCATGAAAGAAAAAAAAATTTGAACACATCAACAACAGCAAGGATAAGAACCACATGGTTATCTCAATAGATGCAGAAAAAGCATTTGACAAGATCCAACACCCCTTCATGATGAAGGTTCTGGAAAAATTAGGAATCCATGGAACATTCCTCAATACAATAAAGGCTGTATATGACAAACCTACAGCCAGCATTATACTGAATGGTGAAAAACTAAAGCCATTTCCTCTTAACTCAGGAACAAGACAAGATGTCCACTCTCTCCACTCCTCTTCAATCTAGTATTAGAATGCCTAGCTACAGCAATAAGACAAGATGCAAACATAAAGGGGATCCAAATAAGGAAAGATGAAGTAAAACTCTCCCTCTTTACAGATGACATGATCTTGTATTTAAAGAATCCCACGAATTCCACTTCCAAATTACTCAAGCTGATTCAAAACTTTGGCAAAGTAGCAGGGTATAAATTAACCCTCAGAAATCAATGGCTTTTCTGTATACCAACAATGAGAAAAGTGTGGCTGAAATTAGGAAAGCAACTCCATTCGTAATGGCCACACAAAAAATAAAATACCTAGGAATTAACTTGACCAAAGAAGTGAAGGACCTCTATGATGAATATTTCTTTTCATGAGCTAATGCACAAGCATTCCCTTGAACAACAAGAGCAATCGCTGTCTTATCTTCCAGCCTTGAAAGCAGTTGTGTCTAAGTAGTTCACTACAGTCTTTGAAATAGTCCTGCTCCAAAGCTGACAGTAGTCCTACAGAAAATAATAATCTGATGCGAAGTTCTTTGGTGGGAATCTTGCATTAAAAGAGACTAATTTTTGTCTAATCATAGGATGTTGAAACCTTTGTCAGGTTGTATTCATTTCAGGCAATTTAGCAGGGCAGCACCTTCCTTCCTGATGCCAGAGTTGTGAAAGAGGGTTTTCTAAATGCATTTGTTTGCTTTCAAGATTATTTGTTCTCTTCTTGTCACAACCTTATAGTCCTGTTAAAACAAAAATGAAAGAGCCTTCCAAAGACATTTCTGGCACTGGTAATTTGTTTCAGGACAAACCTGGCTAAAGGGTTTTTTTAAAAAAAATTTTAAGTGTTCTTTTCTGCAAGATGGAATGCTTGGTTTCTTCCTGAAGATCTCATTGGCAGTCTGGGTCTCTTCTAACTAATCAATAAATAAAGCCCAGTTAAGCCACATTTATTTCTTGAAGCAAATAGCAATCACTGCATTACTGTGGGAGCTCAGGCCCTATCCATCAGCAGAATCATGATGAAGAATGAAAGCTAGGGATTTGAGACATCAATCTGAAGAGAAATGCTGTCTCTAGGGCACTAAGACACTTGGATTTATCCATCACCTTGCTTAATTGTCTAGAGAGTAAGTTCTTCTCTACATTTTACATGAGATATATGGGATCTACTTCATTTAATGTAGCATATTTGATCAAAAATTTGCTATTGTTTTTATTTTTAACAGTAATATATTTATATATATATATATATATATATATATATATGTATCTTAGTTTATACCCGCACTCAATAAAAATAGGACCCATGTGTATATTGGTGACAAACTCTGTGCTTCTTACGCAATTGCTAATTTATTAAAATAATTTGTCCACTTTTCTTGTCATTTCAAAAATCCTAAATTCTCCTTAATGGCCTAGAACAGTTATTCAACTTACAACCATCACAGTACCTTGCTTGGTAGGCACTCACAAAATATTTATTGATTGAATGAATACACTATGGGAGTTAAGGTTAATTTAGTTTATTAGGAGTCATTATATCACTGTCATACTCTTGTCCCCTAAAGATAATGCTAACTTACTTTATTTACATGTAATATAAGATATTCACACTTTTACAGAAGAATCTAGTGAATTTGAACTAGCCATTGTACTTCTTTGGACTTTATGAATGAGGAGGAAATGACAATTTGTTCATATCCCTTCAAAGTTCCACTCCAAAATTCCACACAGTTTCCTTTGAAGAAAATTTGGATGAGGCTCATTTAATTTATGATGTAAGACTTTGCAACATTTCTATTGTGATAGCACATGTCCATAACAACCACTACCCCTAATGTGGGGACACAACAATGACAATAATGTTCAGAAGGTAACAATGAAATGTGAAATCCCAGAATCCTTTGTACCCACTAAACTTTAATGTCCAAATACAACAATACAAATGCAGAGTTTCCATGTTTGTAGGTACATTATGAAATTCTATAAAAAATTAGGACTTTATTTAACAAGTTTTTAGGTAATTAGTATTTTATTTTTATTTGTGGGAATACTAGGGCTTACTCTGGCCTGAATACTGTCCCTTAGCTCTTTCATTTGAGCCAAAGCTCTACTTCCAGCTTTTGGGTAGGTAACTCAAAATATAGTTTCACTTTCCTGCCCAGGCTGTCTTTGAACCACCACCATCCTCAGAGCTCAGCATCCTGAGTAGGATTACAAATGTGAGTCACTGGCACCTGGCTTAATTAGTCTTAGTAAGTTATATATAGACTAATTCAGTTATTATTAATATCTCTGCAATTTGGACATTCCACTATCTCTACACCCTTCTTTTGTGTTTGGGGGTATCACCATTTTTTAAAATTTATTTATTTTTTATTGTGAAAATACTGTACAGAGGAGTTACAATTACATGGGCAAGATAATGAGTACATTTCTTATCAAGCATTGTAGCCTCCTCCTTTGTTTCCCCTTCCCATCCCTTCCCATCCACCCTGACCTCCCCACCCAATCCTCCCGTTCCCCCCTAACGAAAGTTGTAAAGATCGTTTTGGACATAACAACTTGTACATCTCATTGTTGCAATGGGTCCACCTGTAACCCTATTTAAAAGATTTGTTTTTCTCCTTCCCCTCCACAAATTATACCGACATCAAATATAGTGAAAGCAGGGGTTATACTGTGCGGGAGGGACATACAAACCAACAAAGAAATAATCTTATAAATGTGTTAGAAACAATCGCATGAAAGAAAAAAAATTAAATTATTTCAGTTCTTCAAATTTGTATTTATATACAAATTTTTGAGTAAGTTCATAAAAGTACTGCTTCAGATCCTAGAGCTATACATTCACAAGCAAATGTAGAGTATCAGTTCAAAAACAGAAGGCTACTCCAGCAGCTGTGGAGAAGGATTATTTCCTTCAAGCTTTCACTTGCTAGTTACCAGTCATGAGATGTTGTTCTCAAGTCAAAGCACCAAAAGAACTTAATAAATTTAATGAAAATCAATGTACACACTCATGCATCTAAAAGAGGACATACGAATAAAAATGTCCTATGCAAGTAAAACATGCTTCTGGCTGTTTTTTGTTTTTGTTTTTGTTTCCTGCAACACAGAAAAGTGGCAGGGCAGGGATAAAATGAGGTTTGACCTTTCAGAATATCATCTTAGTTTCAATATAAAGAATTTGGAGGTGCTGGGAAGGTGGCTCAGTGGTAGAGTGCTTGCCTTGCATGTATGAGGCCCTGGATTCGATTTCTCAGCACCACATTAGCAGAAAAAGCCAGAAGTGGTGCTGTGGCTCAAGTGGTAGAGCACTAACCTTGAGCTGAAGAGCTGAGGGACAGTGCCCAGGCCCAGAGTTCTGGCCCCACGACTGGCCAAAAAAAAAAAAAAAAAGAATTTGTAGAAGGGTAACCAATGAATAAAGGGTAATTTTTCATTAGCATGACATCACTGAGATATCTGTGGTCATCTTGCTGGCTACTACTCTGGCCAGGAAAGGCCCAAAGGAGTGAGAGAAGGCCAGAAGAAGCCATGGTTTCCACAAGGCTGTTTATGTTGGGGGCATAGTAGCTCTTAACTGGGATACGGAGAAGTAAGACATTTCACTTGTAGAGTCCATATGTTTTGGTAGGATATAAAATAAACTTTGAAAGATAACTCAGTATATCTTATTTGATATTTTCAGCCAGTTAAATTCAACTAGATAAACAATTTGATGTCTTACCCATTAATTTAAACTAAGTTGCTCATTAAAATTTTCCATTTTCTCTTTTCTTTTTTAAGAAGACAAAGCCAAAGAGATATATTCGAGTTTCTTCTTCTTTTTATTATTTAGAGTTCAGTATTACATTGATTTTAAAGCTGTTATTGTAAATCAGGCATTTTTATAGATTCTTCAAAACATTTTACCTCTCTCTGCTGAATTTTACAACTTGGGGGGGGGATGGAAGGGAAGGGATGGTATGGGAAACAAACAAAGGAGGAGGCAACAATGCTCGATAAGAAATGTACTCATTACCTTGTTCATGTAATTGTAACCCCTCTGTATGGTATTTTCACAATGAAAGAAACTTACTAATATAAAAAAGAAAAAAAGGAGATATATCTATAGATAGATAAAAATCTTATAAGGCAATTCACTATTTTGTACAATTAATATACACTAATAAAAATTAAAAACAAAGAAAAATATATACTCTGTTTTCCTTGATTTTATTTTTTCTCTTTGTATGTTATTATGTCAATTTTTGTCATTCACTAGGAGCATTGTAAGCTAACTTTTTTTTTTATGTTCTGAGCTTGCTTCAATAAAGCTTGCTTTATTGAAGCAGCCTGAAGCTGAAAATTCAGCCATTCTGGAGTGTCTTGAGATACTATGCAGCCAAAAAGAAAAAGAAAAATCCGACATCCTGGCCAGGATTTTTTTCTTGTGTCTTTTCCATGGTGTGTAACCTATTCTTCGTGTAAGACGATATATTTTGTTGTATTTTTGATATAGCACCTTGAATTCTGCCTGTCTAGCTCCGATGCCCTGCGATCATAGTGGGGTTTGTGATCACCCAGCATCTTCAGAGTGCACTGGTTTTCCACTGTGATTCTCACTAGCTTGAGGTTCCTTACTGCTCTATTTAGGCTTCTGGATAAATATTCATTCCAGGAGTCCACCTTGGCAGCCCCTGCATGCGCATTGGCAATTTTCTGACATAGCTGCATATTTTCATACTCGATTTTGTCAATTTTCTTTTGCTCACTCTGTAGTTTGCTTGGTTTTAAACTGTGATGTGTGTGGACCATTGGTGGTTTGGTATCAACTGCAGGCTTCACTATGTGTACTCTATTCTTGTGAGATGCATAGTGGCCAAAATCCAGTTTTTTAAGTCTGTGGTTTACCTTGGGGGAGGGAAACTCGGCATGGACTCAGCAGACCTAGGGTCCTGAAAAGTCTGCATCTCTGACCTGGACCGGGGTTGGGGTTGGGGTGTCCCGCAGCAGGGACAGATCTCACTGCTGAATCCTAGTATCCCTGCCATCCTGAAAAAGCTCCTTGGAACTGCATTTGATTGCAGTGAAGGGAGCTTCCGTGACCCCCAGCTTAAGAACTGCTTTAGCACCAGGGTGGGAGAGGACGGGCAGCCTTTCCGCAGAGGCCTGCTGCGGGGCCGGGGCCGGGGCCGGGTGGTAGGCGTCCTCGCCACGCAGGGAAGGCACTGCCCTCACTTTTTTCTTTTAACATGTATGTTATTTTAGGGTAGCTTTGCATTTCTTTTGTTTTTACAGTGTTCAACAAAGACACGCTTTCTTTGTGTTTTTTGGCGGTTTTTCAATATACTGATTTATTTTATGTTCTTCTTAGATAAGTTGAGTCTATATTGTCTGATTCTGAAAATAAAACAATAAAATGCACCTTTACTCTCAAAGGAGAGAGTTATATTCTATTATATTCTAGTTTTAAATGTAAGCTAATCAATAGAATCATGTGAAATGCTATTAACATTTATAGTGCTAAAGATGAGCTCCTTACTACCAAATCAGACAAATGAGGACAGAACCCAGTCTTGCATTAAAATCTTCAATAACCAAAATTCCTAAATGTGATTTCAAAGTCTTGCCAAGATAGGAAGCTAGAGCTGTACTCTCTCTTCTAATTTCTTCATTTTTGCTCTCCTCTTACTCAAATCCAGTTCTAGACTTGCCATGTGTCCTCTGCAGCAAAGAAACTCCAAGTGGTGTATCATACAGCTGAGATCATCTTATTCTATCTCAGGCTGCTATGTGTTAGACATTTCAGGAGGATTCAATGGGGAGATGTTTTCATTCTGTTAACAACACAGAAATGTGTGCTGATTACTAGCTGGCCAGGATAACCCAGATAGATTTTGGCAGGAAACCTAGAAGGCTGGACTCAGCTGGGACTATCTAGCAGCACACATAACTGAGGCTTATTGTGTTGCTTTGCATTTTTAAGAAGGCAAAATGTATAATATTCTTTACCAAATAAATTAATGTTTTCATAATTTAAAAATAGCATGCTCTTAAGTTTTAGTTCATAGATCGTTTCTACTAAAGCATAAATATTTTTAGTTAAAAGTCAGATAATTTTTCCTTTTATTTTTGTTCAAATTATAATTACAAAATGTTCTTAAATTCTGACTTCAACTTAGTATCTGTGAATAATGTTAATAATTTCTTTCTTAAAAAGTATTTTTCTACTTTCTAAAAGTATTTTTTAACATATCTTTTTTTTTATCCTGCAGCCAGTGGCTCACACCTGTAATCCTAGCCAGTCAAGAGATTGAGATCTGAGAATCACCACTTGAAGCCAGCCTGGCAGGAAAGTCAGTGAGACTTTTATATCCAGTTAACCACAAAAGGCCAAAAGTACAGATATGGCTCAAGTGGTAGACCATTAGCCTTGAGTAACTGGGATTGCAGGCATACACCAATGTGTCCAATCAATATCACAAATTTAACATTAATTATAAGAATCATCAAAGGAGAGGAGAAAGAACTGGTGTCAGAAAAGTTTAACCCCTGCTCTCACTGTATTTGATGTTGGTATAATTTGTGGAGAGGAAGGGCAAAAACAAATCATTTAAAAAGGGATATAGGTGGACCTATTGCAACAATGAGATGTACAAGTCCTTATGTTGAAAAACGAACTTTACAACTTTGGCCAGGGGCGGGGGGTATGTGGGTGTAGAGGGTGATGGGTAGGGTGTAGAGGGTGTTGGGGGATGGGTAGGGATGGGAAGGGGGAAAAAAGGAGGAGGCAACAATGCTTGATAAGAAATGTACTCATTATCTTGCCCATGTAATTGTAACCCCTCTACTGTATTTCCACAATATAATAAAAAAGAAAAGAAAAGTTTTGCAAAGTCATAATAGCCACAGTAGGTCTCCAATTAGGGTATAGACCACACATCTCAGAATCTCTCAATGTACCAAACTGAGTGAATGTAAAGAAAGCAGTGTCCTGATACACTATCATAAAACTATTGAAAATCAAAGATAATAAAAAATAATGAAATCCCTTACAGAGAGTTAAGTTCTTCAAAGGGGATGATTACAGGGATGAAAGACCAATAGAACATGTCTTGAAATAGAAAAATTAATCTATGGATTTCTGAGCAAACAATCTTCTTTAGGAATTAAGTCACAGTTAAGACACTGACAGGTAAGGGCAAATCAAGGTAAATGGTTAGTAGTGGATTTGGTCTTCAAGACATGATGAAGCAGCTTGTTGAAGCTGAAGGAAGTGATGATGGAAATAGACTTCAGTTAAGGAAGAACAACAGCTTTGTTAGTGTACAAGACTGTTTTTCCTTTGAAATAATGTGGGACAAAGTGATAATGGCAACATTATTCTGGTAGGATTGTCCATGGATACAGACATGCCATACGATTGCTATGACATGAAGGTCAGTAGGAGCTGTAATTATGTATGTAAAACTTTCACGTTTTATGTGAACTTGTGTGTACGTAGCTCTAAGTAGGGGATGATATGAAATGAATATTAAAATTCATGAAGCAGTCATTGATTTAACAATACTTAGAGATATTACTCAAAAGCCCACACATAAGTTAAGTTGAATATTTAACACATAAAAATTAAATATTAACAGCAGATAGGAACCAGGCAGTGACTACTCATACCTTTAATCCCAGTCAGGAAGATTGAATCTAGTTGACCATGATATGAGATCAGCCTGAATAGAAGTCCCATAGACTTCATGATGAGAAAATGCTGGAAGAAGGATACAGGATGATTCATCACAACAATGAGTCTCACAAGACTCTATACTTGAAATGAACTTCTGGGGGAGGGAAGGAATGGGGGAGGTGTTGGAGGGAAGAAAAACAAAGTAGTAGAAGAAAAACAAAGGAGGGGGTGTTCAACAAGAAATGTATTCATTACCTTACTCATGTAACTGTACCCCCTCTGTATAGTATTTTTACAATAAAATAATTTTTAAAGTAAATGTAAAAGCACTGCTGGAGGCATGGATGACATCAGTGTGCTTATCTGTAATGGAAGCCAGGCAAGTGTCTGAAGTCTTGAGTTCAAATTTCAAAACTGTCAAAAACAAACAAAATAAAAAATTAATATGAATGAAAAGAGAAGCAAAACAAGAAGGAAATGGAAAAATGGTTAGATATTATCAAACTATTAACAATTACACTAAATAAAAAGTAAATATAAAAATAAAAGAATGTCTAGGCACTGGTGGCTCATGCCTGTAATCTTAGCTACTCAGGAGGCTGAGATCTGAGACTTTTATCTCCAATAAACCACTAGAAAACCAGAAGTGGCACTATCGCTCAAGTGGTCCAGCACTCCCATTGAGCTGAAGAGCGCAGGGACAGAGCCCAAGCCCAGAGTTTAAGCCGCACGACTGACCAAAATAAATAAATAAACAAGTTAAATAAAAGAATGAGAGAAGATGGACAAAAATGAACTTCTTTAAATATAAGAACATAGATACTTTGAAAGAATTGTGGAAATATATTAGTTTGTTCATATGCCATAATAAAATATTACAAGGTGGCTTGAGCAAAATAAACTTGCACACTGTTCTTGAGTCTAGAAGCCTAAACTCTAGGTATTGGCTAGTACAATTTGAGGGCTTTGCTGTCTTTTCTCTCAGCTTACCAAAATGCTGAAACAAGGACACAGGATGACCCATTGCAACAAAGATACCCACAGGACAGTATATTGGAAATGAACTTTACAACTTCAGGTGGCAAGGAGGGGGTAGGATAGGAGTGTGAGAGGTGGGGAGGGAAGGAATAGTGGGACAACAACAAGGAAAGGAAGGGGTAACAATGATAAACAAGCAATGTACTCATTGCCTTACTCATGTAACTGTAACCCCTCTGTACCACATCTGAACAATATTTTGAAAAAGAAATTGCCTTAGAGAGTAGACTATTACATTTACAGTAAGATATTGTAATGCCATTATTATCTTCATTATTATTATTATCTTCATGTGGATAAGACAGAGCTATCTCTTAAAGCTTAGTTATATGAGTAATTATGCTCAGGAGTACTGTACACCTTGCAACTTTAATTTTTGCCACTATACATTAGCTTTTAGTAAGTGTTGAACCATGTTCTTCACTCTAGAAATGAGTAATAACTACTTTTTCCTCCACATATAGTTTCCTTTTGCATTTTAGAAATCATTTTAATTAAAAATCTTTGCATTTAAACCACTTGAGTCCGTTGCAGTAGAAGATAATAAAATTAAAGTTAGAAGAACCTGAGGTTTACTGTTTTCTTTTCAGAATATAGAAATTAAATCTCACACAAATATTTAACAATTCCTATCTTGTTTATCTCATTTTTATTAAAGTATACAGAATCAAAAGTATTCATCCCTTGTTGTCACTGTATTGATTTTGGTACCCTGGATATTGTATATACATTTATATGAATTAGGGAAGCGAAGAGGAACAACAAAATGGCGAAACAAAGGACAAAGGTCAAAACAATGCAATAGTGATACTAACAAGACAACATTTTGGAAACGAGCTTTATAATTTGGTGGGTCAAGACATTGGGGAGGAGGGGAAGTGGGAATAAAATGAGGGAGAAGGTAACAATGTTTGATAAGAAATACACTCACTACTTTATGTAAGTAACTGAACCCCTCTGTATAACACCTTGACAATAAAATTAAATTTAAAAAAGTATTCATGAAGAATCTCTTCTTACTAATGATTGATCAATAATAATTTTTATTAAATTCATACAACTCAAGCACCGTCCAAGTTTGTTCTTGAATCAATTA